TGTGTGTTTTTAGCTTTCTTCCTGTATGGGAAGCTTTTCAACATTTGAAACATTAATGCAGTGGTTTATGTTAAAATAAACCTTTGGGTTAAGTTGTCACAAGAAGGTTTTTCTTGTGAATTTGGTCTTAAATTTTTATTTCAAGTGGCATTAAAAAGTCTTAAAAAGTCTGAATTTAACTTGCCTTATGCTGTAGGAACCCTGGTTTTTCAATGTGTGTACTTGTGCGTTCTCATGTTCTCGTGAAACGCCATCAGCCTCAGCCCTAGTAATGTTCCAATTCACAAGAACAAGAAGACAGAGAACAGACAAAGTCCCCAGATGTTGTTCTCGCCCCTCCCTCTTTACCCAGCATGCATCAGAGCAGCCTTGTCTGTTCTCCAGACTGACAGCTGTCCCAGCATGCACTGCAGCACCAGCAGCTTGCAATGGAGCGCTCACAGAGCTCAGAGTATTAAGTTAAATGTTCTCTTTTCTCTTGCTGTTGTTCTATAAAAGTACATTTTTTAGATAATTTAAGGTGAGAACATTATAGTTTGAGCATCACTATGTGGCCCATTTACTCTACTGTTGAGAGGACCGCGGTAACCAGCGGACCTCTGAGGCTAAGCGCACCCAGAGCTACCGTTAACCCGTCTGCAGCGGCCCTCTCGCTGCATAGCCGCGTGTGAAGTACCACTAGCTATGATGGAGATTTTTTTTGTTTGTTTTATTTGGCAAAATGTTCATTTGATTTGTGTTTATCTGACTGTGTTCATTATTATTCCCCCAATAAATAAAAAAAAAGTCATAATTTATTATTATCTAGAAACTATTAATAACAGGAGGTGAAATGCAGCTCCAGACGAGCTGAGCGTGTGGTGATGTCATCAGTACGCTTCGTTCCAATTGACCCGTATTTATGCTGCTTGCTCCCGTTCTTTGTTCTTCTCAAGAACAGACTCGGCGAGGACACGAGTCCATATCTACGTTCTTGTGAATTGAGAAAAAGTCTCTCTTTAAAATGAAAACAAAACAAAAATACCTTTTAAATAAGTTCCAAATATACTCAATTTAAAGATGAGTTGTTTTATGTTTCCATGCTAGATGTTTAGAATGACTCACTCGGATGTGAAGGTGCAGCTGACAGGTGTGGTCTACCACGCCGATGAAGCATCCAGTGGGTGGAGGTGTGGAGTGGACAGAGGGGGGGGGACCTCCTTGATCTGGACAGTAGATCTGGAGGCTTGAGATCCGACTTAAAGTCAGAAGAGCTGAATCAAAGCGGAGGAGCGTCTGCGCCTGGCTGGGCGAACACACTGCCCACACTGAAAGAAGCACAAGAGACATGAATACTTTAGGCACTGCTTCTTTGGATCACTTACCAATATTTAAAGTAATTACCTTTATGCACAAAAATATCATGTAAAATGATGGTTGTTAGCGGCTGTGATCTGTTGACTTACTGACAGGTTTCTCTTTGGTCAGGCCACACTGGGCTCGCAGAGATCGAGCTGTTCGGATAACGTCCTGGACCAGCAGGAAGTCCCTCTCCACCTCAGGGAAATACCAGTGTGTCTGGAATAAAACAGGCAGAGCAAAAAATAAAGTTCATGAAGAGGAAAAACTGGAGAAAACAAGGTTTTAAGTAAACAGAAGAAGAAAAAAGCAGATGACCTTTGCTCTCCGTGTTTGACCCTGGATCAGACTAAAGATTTACCCACTTTAGGCAGGATCAACTTTATCGCTTATATTTGATAGTATTTTGAATTTACTCCCAATGCCAGAAGTTAACATACAATTCCTGGACAATATGGGCTGTTTTTATGAAGTTCTGGAGTTTTTTTTTTTTCTCTGATTGGCCTCCAGTCCATGTCAGGCAGAATCAAACTTCTAGATTCAAAGAATGTAATAATAATAGAAGTGCTCTGCCGTTACTCAGGCATCAGCAATTAGACAGAATTGGAGCAACTTAAAAAAGGAAGGCTAAATCTGATTTGAAGTCTGTTAGGTTTATTCTTTATACATCATGTGCATTGTTACTTTGTTAGCCAGATTAGACAGAGTAGAAGGCCTTCCTTCACATTGTGGATGTCACTGTGTGTACGGAGGTCATCTAATCAGGACAGCCTTCATCTTGGAGCCGGTCTGATCTTGGAGCCGGTCTGATAAAGGGAAGCTATCTGTAATTTTTGGGCATAGAGGCAAGATGCATACAGATCAGGGCATGGATGGCGTGACAGTTTCTGATACGGACAGCTAAACATCAACATGATCCAACACATAGACTCATAAGGCATAAGAAGCAGAAGAAGACCTTGTTTGGGGCTCAATCCTTGCTGGACGCTCGCGGACGTGATTTTTTGAGCCCACAGCTGTGCAAGCTCCAAGCATTTTCTCTGTCCTGTAACGACCTGATCTGGAATAAACTCTGTTATTTTTTAACTCCTGTTTTTATAGTCCTTTTTTTTATGGTTTTAGCCAGTTTGAGTTAAGAGTATTAAGTAGCTTGCCCCCAGGAAAAGAACCGGTGGGGAAGCCCCGAGGCACAACTGCCTTGTTAGGGGACATAACTTCCTCATTTAACAAGTCAGACAAGGAGAAAAATACGGTCTATGTAAATATCAAATTTAGGTTGCACATTTAAGCTGTAATTTTTCCTCAACAGTAAGCCTGGGCACTTAATTGCATTTGCAATATAATCGCAATTTAACAAAATGCAATTTTCAAATCCCAGAGGCCCTCTATTTCAGTGACATTACATTTTAAGTAAACTCAATTAAGTAGCTAAATGTCTTATTCCAGCCCTTTAGGTGGCAATAAAATGCTTAAAGTAGGTTTGCGAGCATGCAGAAGAGAAGAGAAAGATGCAGCTGGTTCACAGAGTCATGTCTGCAAATAAAAGTTTGCACTTTTTCACACAAACCGTAAAGTTGTGCAAAAATTGAGTTTTGGCAAACAAGCTTTAAAGTTAATTAAAAATCCCCAAACTCTTTAGTAAAACATTTCAATTAAATATCGCAAAAATCAAATAAAATTGCAAAATCGGTTCAAAATAATCGCAATTTTTTATTTTTTTGGCAAAATCATTCAGCACCTCTCGACAATACAGAAAAGATTTAAATAACTTTTTCTTAGCCAGGTGATTTGTTTTTTAAAGGAAATCTTTTGAAAGACAATAAATAACTACAATAAGCTCTAACCCACTAGGCCAACACTCCTCTAATCAGGTCTGAGCTCGTTTACTGCTATTTTTATTATTCATCTTTGCTGATCAGCTCTAAATCTTGGAGGTTGGAGGGCCTCTGTGTCAGCACCTTAATCTTCATAGATCTCTATCCCATTAGGGTGAATACTGGAGCTAAATTACTCCAAAACTGTATTATTATAATATTACTTCCAGTCAAGCACAAAGGCATTGGTGAAACTAAGAGATTAATCAAAGTTCACATCTGCCAGCAATATTAATGACGTCACATACTATAGATGAAAATCACTTTAAAAAACCTTTCCTCTTTATTTATGTAAAATGTGTGAAAACTGAAACGATAACATTTAAACTCATCGCTTCATTCAACAGATGATGTCCTGTTCTTCCAAACAGATCAGATAAAAACAATCCACATCTGTGCTAATCCCAGTTGAAATGGGATTAGCAGAAAACCAGCATTCCCTCATGGCGAGAGTTTGGTTGGAAGTGTTTGATCCGTTTCTTTGTTCCACCAAAACAAAAGACACGTTTTACTGGAGGGGAAGCTGCGTGTTGGAGGCAAAGCTGGGAAGCATATCTTTTGGTCAATGCTCAGTGGTTAAACCCTTTTGGGCAGAGCTTCAGAAAGTATTAATTGGTCTGTTTAATACTAATCTCCCTCTGCAGTTTTCAACATTATTTTTTAGGAAATTTTGATTTACAGGTCAGGAAAGCTGGTTAATATTTATTTGATATTCTGATAACCGCAGGTATCAGAGGCCTGCTTTGCCTCGTCTGTTCCTGTTTGGCTGTGACTCCATCCTGGACAGAAATATCAGCTGTGCTGCTGCCATCAACACCTTTGTTTCTAGATGTTGGAGATCAGCCTGTTTTCCAGTGTAGTCCTGTTTCTCTGACTGTGACTAACTGGATGTGCTCTCTTCATCCTCTGACATGGGAGCTGGCTCGGAGCTCGTCTGCCTGGCTGTGTGTTTCCTCCTTTTACAGTTGCCTTTTGTATCTATGCTTCTTTTTCTATGTCTGCTTCTGTCTCCTTGAACCCCAGTGGGCCTCAGCAGATGGCCGCTCACACTGAGCCTGGTTCTGCTGGAGGTTTCTTCCTGTTCAAAGGGAGTTTTTCCTCTCCACTGTCGCTACAAGCATGCTTAGTGTGAGGGATTGCTGAGGAGTCAATGAATCGATGCAATCAGCTGGTTTTCCTTAGATAGAAAACTTTGAATCAATCTGACTGGATGATCTGGTTGAACTGGAAAGTTCCTTGAGGTGACATGATGTGAATTGGTGCTATAGAAATAAACTGAATTGAATTGAATTGGTAAAAACGCACTCATAAGACAACGGTCGGCTCTCAACCCAACCAAAATACAAGAGTGGATAAGTGTTGTAAATGACCTTATGGAAAGGATCACTTCTCCCTCCAACTTCAAAAAACCATTTTCACTAAGAGGAGGGCCAGGTGGGTTAAAAATGCTGGTCTTTAATGGACAGAAGTACAGAACGGGTGACCATGCAATGCTTGTTATTTACTTTTTTTTTTAAATTATTTTAATGTTTTGTAGTGTCTAAGGATTAATGTATTAATGTATCTCTCCTACTTTACTTCCAAACTGCTTTGTAGACGGTTTATTTACTTTTTGCTTTTTCATGCAGGCCTATCTTTCCCAGCAGTTTGTTCAAAGTTGTAAGATGTAATTTATTAAACTTTGTATTTTATGTCTATAATTTTGTTTACACAAGAAGTAATTGTGAGTGACGGTAGTAACATTGTACGTTCCCTGAAAGTAACTACCATTGTAATGTAATGATCCAAAATGAAAAAAAAAATGTAAAAAAAACAAAAAAACAATCTACATCCCCTCAGGATGCAATCTAGAACAACTCTAATTAAACCAGAAGAAAAGGTAAATAAATGTTGTTTTTGAGGGGTGATAATAGATGTGTCCGTACCAGATGGCGGGATGTGGGATAAGGCTGCAAACACAGGCTGGCCTGGGCCTGGGCTTCAGGTCTGAACGGTTGGAGTCTCTGCCACAGCTCCTCGGTGATGAAAGGCATGAAGGGAGAGAGCAGAGCGAGAGACGAAGACACGCAGTGATAGAGAACAGCGCTGGCCACCTGCTTGCTGCTCCTGTCAGCTGGGACATCCGCCCCCCCGTCGTCTTTCAGCAGCACAGGCTTTATGTATTCCTGCAGGATGGAAACAAAGAAATGACAAAGGCTACCCTTTCAAGAGGTTTCAGCTTTGATCACAACAACTAAAGCCACATTTAGACTACCTTTGTGAAACGGTGCAGAGATCGTACCCCAGGTAATTGTTGACGGTAATTTCACGCACACCTAAACTGGACCGCGGCAGACACAACCGAACCGTGCTAACATGGTACTAGTTCATCAGTAAGGCTCGGTGCGGTTCAGTTCTGGCTCAGTTCTCAGATAACAAAGAGTGCATGAGCAGACCGCGTCATCTCCTTACAGTCAGCCTCCGTAATCATGAAATTTTAGAGATTCATAAAAATCCTAGCTTCCCTACCGTTCCGTACGATTTCTAGTGATGATTCTGCTTGGCAGCGAGATGAACCTCAACGTCTGTCGTTGTTTCCTGCTTCTGTAAGGCCTGATCAGACTATAGCTTACTCTGTCAAGTAAATTCACCCTGACTGTCCACAAACAACGAAATATAAATTTACATAGCCTGGTGAGACCATCCTGATCTCGCGAGCTTTCAAGATTTCACTCGCAGATCAGTCTGGAGACTCTCCGTTGAAGAAAATTTGGAGCCGTTCACCAAACGAACGTCCAATCAGTGTTGGCTTTGAGGCGGGTTGAGGTGTGACGCAACGAGAAGCGCGACATTTCAGTCTAAAGGACATGGCGGCTTCAGCCGATGAAACTA